CTCCTCCTCCTCCTCCTCCTCCTCCTCCTCCTCCTCCTCGCCAACTGTCAGAACTGAGCTGAAGGACATAAACCCAACTGGTTGTTTTTTTACGCTGCTGAGTTTAACTAACATGAACTGACAACACTGAGGAAATAACTGTGTTGTTTTAGCACAGGAAGTTTCAGAAACCCACGACTCTCAGGCCACATGTATTTTAATGTTTTAAAAATAAAACCGTTCAGGCAGTAACCTGCTGAAGGACACTTTGGTGACTAATATTTGTCATTTACGATGAGCTGTCCACAAAACACCTTTTAATCAGCTGACTTTAAAAAATGGTTTCACTTGCAATAAATAGTTTTCCTTTACGTTATTTTCTGTCATGATTTGCTGAACAAGTKTTTTTCAAGAAAATACCACACCTTCTCTCAGACTTAAAGGAAGTATCCGAGTCATTTCCTTCATTAATTTCACATCAGCGCACTTCGAGTCTGGAGACGAGGTGAGTTCTCTTTAAATTTGGAATTTTGATATAAATATCTGAATGTTAGTGTTTGATCTGTTTTAATTTGTCAAATTTAGTRAAAATTAAACAAGTCTAATGATAAYAATGATCAATAATGGAACTGAAACTACAAATAACCAACGTAAACTAAGTTCCACGCATCATCCAACTATCTATTTATCTTTACAAAGATTGTTTAGTCATAATTTTATTCTAATTATTCTTCTTTCACTCTTGTGCAAAACTTTCARTTCCTTGTTTCCACTGTTTTGTATACATTTTGCCGTGATCAGTTCATTAAGTCAAGCTTGTTTTCGCTGCCTCTGGTCTCTGTTTGCTGCTGCTATTTTAAGATTTTAATATTTATTTTGTAGCTATTAATGAAAATAATGCTTGGCCTCTTTAATCTGCTCTAATTAAAGGACACAAACTCCAGAGATGACGTTTCAGCTGGCCACTACAGTCCTCCTTCTTCTCCTCCTCCTGTCTGCTCCCATGTTGGCCAAAGTGGTGAGGTCCATGTCCGAGTGCGACCAGTTTCTTCTCCACGGAACTCCTCCACATGTCCCGGGCATCCTGGAGGGCGGGAGGATTCTGAACCAGAACCGCTACAAACCCATCTGCCAGACTTTAATGAACAAGGCTAAGTTCGTCACGCTCTACGACGTCAGCAACAGGATTCCAGTGTTTTCTGCCTTCAAATATGTTGAAGAGAAGGACAGGAAGAGACCAAGAACTACATGGAGAATAGAGCCACAGGTGGGTTTGACTTTGGATCAATGAAGGGTTAATGACTCACAAGGTTTTTACAAGTCAGTGTATCCATGTTTCATGGATAGATGTGGTGGTTGGTTTAGTTGATGGACAGTTGGATGGATGGTTGGATGAAAGGGCAGTTAGATGAACAGTTGGATGAATGGACAGTTGGATGAAAGGGCAGTTGGATAGATGGTTGGATGAAAGGACAGTTGAAAGGATGTTTGGATGAAAGGACAGTTGAATGAATGGTTGTATGAAAGGGCAGTTGGATGGATGTTTGGATGAAAGGACAGTTGGATGGATGTTTGGATGAAAGGACAGTTGGATGGATGGTTGGATGAAAGGGCAGTTGGATGGACATTTGGATGAAAGGACAGTTAAGAGTTGGATGGACAGCTGGATGAATGTTGGATTAAAGGACAGTTGGATGGATGAAAGGACAGTTAGATGGACAGTTGGATGGATGGTTGGATGAAAGGACAGTTGGATGGATGGTTGGATGAAAAGACAGTTAGATGGACATTTGGATGGATGGTTGGATGAAAGGACAGTTGGATGGATGAAAGGTCAGTTGGATGGATGGTTAAATGGGTGGTTGGATGAAAGGTCAGTTGGATGGATGGTTGGACGATAGGACAGTTAGATGGATGGTTGGATGGATTAAAGGTCAGTTGGATGGATGGTTGGATGAAAGAACAGTTAGATGGAGAGTTGGATGGATGGTTGGATGAAAGGACAGATTATTGGATGGATGGATGAAAGGTCAGTTGGATGAAAGGACGGTTAGATGGACAGCTGGATGAATGGTTGGATGAAAGGACAGTTGGATGGATGAAAGGACAGTTAGATGGACAGTTGGATGGATGGTTGGATGAAAGGACAGTTAGATGGACAGTTGGATGGATGGTTGGATGAAAGGACAGTTGGACGGATGAAAGGTCAGTTGGATGGATGGTTGGATGAAAGAACAGTTAGATGGACAGTTGGATGGATGGTTGGATGAAAGGACAGATTGTTGGATGGATGGAAGAAAGGTCAGTTGGATGGATGGTTGGATGGACAGTTGGATGAAAGGACAGTTAGTTGGACAGTTGGATGAAAGGATGGTTGGATGGACAGTTGGATGGATGGTTGGATGAAAGGACAGTTGGATGGATGGTTGGATGAAAGGACAGTTGGATGGATGGTTGGATGAAAGGACAATTGGATGGATGGATGAATGAAAGGTCAGTTGGATGGAAGGTTAGATGAAAGGATTGATTTGATTTGAT